AATAAAAAAATAAAAAAAAAAAAGATAAAACACGCCAAAGAGAACATTTTCCCCACCTGACCTGTTCAGGTAAATTTTTTTATCAATTTTTTTATTACCTTTTTTATCCACGCAGTGCATAGCCTATCTTCCCCCCTTGTGTGTTCTCGCACATGTCAAACAAACGATGGTTTTTTTTGAAAATAGTAAGATTCTAGGATAGACGATAAGGGAAGACGAGTAAATATTACGCGTATTCTCACACCATAATTATATAAATAGGTCGAACCATGTTTTAAATTATTTTTTTTTTTTTTTTTTCCGCATTTGTATATATGTGGGTGGGAGGATAAGTTAACGGAGGTTGATTTTTGTCCAATGTAGGTCCTTTTCAGCTTTGTCTTTTTTTTTTTTTTCTTTTTTTTCCCACACGTGTACAATATTGATGTGTCTATATTCATGCAAAAGGAAATCCCCATAAGGGGAACTCCCCACGAATGGGAGATATGCAATATATTGGTCAGAAAAATCACCTGAACAGTCAGGTAAAAAATGATACGACATAAACAAACGGGAAAAATGCGCAATGTGTGTTGCACCCAGGAGTCGCATGATAGGTCAGGAATTATTCCCCATGCGGCTGTTCGATGTGCACTTTTGCAAAAATGAAGCAGTATAAAGGAAGTATTAAAGCGGTATTAAAGTAGTATAAAAGAAGCATAAAAGAAGCATGAAAAAAGCATAATTGCAGCATAAAAGAAGCATAAAAGAAGCATAAAAACAGTATTAACTTCGTGTTAAAGTAGAAACCGACAATGCTGTGTGTGTGTGTGTGTGTAGGGTGGCATCGTGAAGGCCGCTTTAAATTACACACGTTTTTGGCAAGGCATAAATGTCTTCTAACATAATCCCTCCATGCGAGGTGACATTTGTGGTGATGCGCATAGCACTAGATTGTCTTCTTTCCGTGGGAAGTACCCATGCATGTGTTGTAACATTTCTGGAAAAGTCTACCAAGATAACTATCCACAAGGGATGTATGTGTTACTACTGTATTTGGTATGAGTGAAATGTTCACTCGTCCAGTTTCTGTGTGTGTATATTTTTGCAAAGTTTCCTGCTTAACATTTTTGTAGTAGTTTGTTGCATCTATTAGGGATAGATTCGGTGGTCCCAGAAGGAGGCTAGCTAATTTATAGCCAAAATAGTGAAAAATCATTAAAAAAAGGAAAAAACAATAATGATATTTTTTTAAAACAAATTCATTTAAAATCCAACTCAAGCTCATAAATGGGCCGCTAACAGCATTTGTGCATCTAGTAGAAAATAGAGATATGACTTGTGTAAATATTAGATTCACTTCTAACGCATATGATAAGTTGTCTTTTGTAAAGAGGTAAATATATAGTAATGTATAACTTAGAAAGGAACAAATTAACTCATTTAAATATGTATCCATGACAATAGATGAATACAAATCTGTGTTCATGGAAAATGTTTTGTTATGATATTTATTTGCGTTATTAGTATACGGACATGTCAAAATAATGAATTGAATAAGAAATTCTTTTATAACGATCGACACATTTGGATACACAAATGCAGTAAGAATGGAATTATTTTTTGTGACTGTTCCTTGTTGAATTCTTTCAATAATGCTGGTGCTCACGGGGTGGGTATGCGTTCCTGTCCCAAGAATTAATTTGACCGCTAGCAGGTGTGTGCAGGTTCCAATAAGGTTCGAAATGAAGATTACCTTCGCTTCATCTGCAGTGGTGGGAAGTGAAGGGAAGTGATAAGACGTGATAAGATTGATAAGACGTGATAAGAATTGATAAGACGTGATAGGAAATAAGTGCAATGGTGGATGATGAGGGAAAGCAGAAAAACATGCAACAAATGTAACAAGGGCATGTATGATAGGAAAAAAAAACAGAAAGGGTGAAAGAACTCACGAGAAAAAAAAAACGTCTCAACAGTCATGCATGGATGTCAGGACTGATATCTCCACACCTGTTTATGCACTTACTTCTGCTTATGAGATTGAGTCTGCTCTTGAAAAAATGAAAAAAGGGATCTCCATCGTACCCAGCAGAAATATACCGAAACCACAATAAGAGAATAAGCGTTGCCTTGATTGATTCTGCCAAGAGACTATTTCCATAATCATAGTGTGATAATGGAGATAAGATGGCATATATATACTTGGAAATAATTTGATTTAAAACAAAACAAAAGGTAAAATAGAAGAAGGTATTAATAAAGTATCCTAATGACAATGATATTATCTTAAAATTGCGTTCAATAAATTTTGATGAGACATTTTTTACTTTGATTTCTTTAAAATCTTCTTTAGTTCCTTTTCTATTCACTATTTTTTCTTTAATTTTTTTCGTAATTTTTAGTGACTGTTCATATATTTTGCTATCATTGTGTGTTACACTCATTGTTGTGATAATGCTTTGTGCAGGCAAACTAGCTAAAAGGGACAAACAACTAACTATTGTCTTTTTTTTGGTACGAACATGTGTGGATATGAGAATATCTCTACGTCCTCTTCTTCCACAGCATGTGTGTGTGCATAGGGATGTATTATTCTTTACACTATTTAATCAAAATGGAGAGGCTACGAAACAGAGTGGAAGTCTCAATAAGGAGCTTTCTGTCTCATTCGCTTTCCCCTTGGGTACAAAAAATTACACATTCCTATTCCACGTCTTCAAATCTAATGCTCAACTATTCAGAAGAAGATTCGGCACATGGGCAATATATATATATATATATATATATATATATATATATATATATATATATACATGTGTGTGTGTGTGTGTTTGTGTGGTCGGTTGGGAATGTTCTTCTGAATTTGTCTATATTTTTCCCTGGGCTCTTCTCCACTTGACTATTTTTTTTTTTTTTTTTTTTTTGTTTTTTTTTTTGCTTCCTTTCTAGAGTTCAGTCATGGTTACGTGGGAAAAGTTCGAAAATGGAAAAGGGGAAATATTCTCAAGATGTAAAAATGCTGAGAGAAAAAATGGAAAAATACACAAAATGCAGCGAGGAGAAAAGAGAAATTAATACCTAGTACACATACACACCCCTCAAATGCATTACATCTCTTGATTCAGCGAAATAATATGGGGATACTTTTTTTTTTTTTTTTTTTTTTTTTTTACTACTAATGATCATCATATGAATTAAAAGTTCAATGAGGTATAATTTTTCCTTCATTTGAGACTTAATATGTAGGAAATTCTTTTGAAGTAAAGGCATGTACATGTACTCATTTTTCAATTGCACAAAAGGGGAAAGCAAAAAAAAAAAAAAAATACACAAATGGGGAGAAGTTGAGGAGAAACGGACGAAAAAAATCAAACGGTGGGAAAATGATACACTTTTTTATGATACATCAGACTGATAATGTTTACGCTTTTGAGTTGATTTTTTTTTTTTTTTTTTTTTTTTTGGAAAGTCTTAAAAAAAAGAGGAAGAAAAAAAAAAAAAAAAAAAAAAAAAAAAAGATAGACATGCTACACTTGTTAGTGTTCATTTAAGAATAAAATAGTCACCATGCTTTCTGTTATGCTGGTAATATTTCAATAGGTCCCCAAATATGATCATACAAAACTTGAGTAATATATTAATACATTTTAGGACAATTATACAAAGACTGTTACGCTTTAAGAGGATAAAAAAAAAAAAAAAAAAAAAAAAAAAAAGGAGATATCACTTTTCTTTTGAAACAATTATTTCTACTTAAAACCTCCTTAGGGGGCGAATCCCTTTTCTATGTTACCATGCGCGGAGCGATATACTATATACTGTTGTGCATGCACACAAAACACACAGGGAGAAAAAAGGAAAAAAAGATAAAAAGTTGTCGTGATGGATGACTATCTTTTGGACTTTCGTTCTGTGGGTGCATTGTGTGCAAGAAGGGCGTTAAAACAAGCTGTAAAGTTCTTCCATCTTGTATTCCTTGTTCTTCCTTAACATGGTTGATTATTTAACATGGTTGATGATTTAACATGGTCGATGATTTAACATGGTCGATGATTTAACATGGTTGATGGCATAACATGGTTTATTCTTTTTTTTTTTTTTTTTTCCCTCCCGGACCCCTGGGGACGCTTATAGGATGAACATAAAAAAAAAAAATAAAATAAAATAAATTAGATAAAATGGATAGGTGGATAAATGGATAAAATAAAATAATATGATCCAGCAGCACTCACTTATTTCTGTTATATAACAAAACAAAAAGCGACAAAAAAAAAAAAAAAAAAAAAAAAAAAAAAATATAGCATCCTTTTTCATCATCTGAGAGGAAACCTCTTCACTGTCATCGTCATCCATCGTGGAGAAGCAAACCTTCAAGGAATTATTAATAACATATGCGGGTGTGTTTGCTATGCAATCATTTTAAAGCATTTATCGCTGAATGAGGCAAATGCAAAGAGGAAACAGCAGAAACTGTCTGTTTCCCACTGAATCTGCATAAAGTAAACAAGGAGTGATAAAAAGAAAAAGGAGAAACAGGAGAGGATCTATACACATAATATCCTCCCGTCTTGGGGGATGTGGGGGCAAATTTTCTGAATTTTTACTTTTCCTTTTGGAAAAAATGAATAATTTAACACTGGCAATTAGCAGCTTGAACAAACTGTTTACTGAGAAGGAAGAGAAAATTCAAAATGAAAAGAATGAGTTTCATGAATTGAATGTACCACGAGAAATAATTGATATTTTAAAATGTATAGGGATTGAGCACCCCTCAATAATACAACAGTTGACAATAAAAAAGGCCTTAAATAAGAAAAATTTAATTATCCAATCTAAGAATGGAACGGGGAAAAGTATGTCTATATGTATAATTACAGTTAGCAGAATATTTTCAAAAATGAAAAAAAACTATTTGCAGAATTGTGTAGAGACAAGGAAAAAAAAAAGAAAAAGAGAGGAGGAAACATCAAACTTTGTGGAGATAAAAACACATAAATTAGAAGAATCACATGGAAGAAGCGAATATAATTCCCTTCTTGACAGTGATCCTTTTGCCCTTTCATTATTCCTGCATTCTGCAATTCTTGTTCCAACACGCGAATTGTGTGTGCAACTTTACGACAATATTAAAAAAATTTCTGACAAGGCAAGACTTTTTAAAAAAAGTTCTGAATGTTCAGATAAAAACGAGATCCTGAACATTTCCAATATGCACAGTTCAGGTGAACAGTGTCAAGTGAATAATGACACACAAAATGTTGGTCATCTTTTAGTCGAAATAAGGCCCATGATATTATATGGAGGTACGGATGTTTTGGACAATTTGAAAAATTTGTTTATGTTTCTTCCCCACGTTGTAATTTCGACACCTGGGAGGCTGAAACATGTTTTGATCATTCTAAAACGCCTGCACATTCAGGTAATTGGACATGAAGAAAATAAACCGAATTGTCACACCCCACTGTGTGGGAATACCCAAACAGAAGTACTTTCTCAAATGAACCTACTGGTCTATCTTCTTCCACACACGAAACTCCTGAATGTTCTACTGAAGCAGCTGATCTTTGATGAAATAGATGCTCTTCTTGAGGAACAGTTCGAGGAACAAATAAGAATTATTCTAACTCATTTGGTAACGCCCAATGTTCAAATTCTTTGCTACAGCTCCACATTCCTTGAGTCAGTAATATCCAATTTTATAAAAAGTGTAAATTTACATGACATTGGATATTTAGCAAGATGGAAAGGGTTTTGCCTAAAAAGGATTGAGAGGAAGACTTTGGGTCCAAGTAAGGTTTTCCCCGAAGGGGATATCACGTCTGCAGGAGTTGTGCCAGACGTACAGGTGAGTCATGTCTCTTCTGATAGCATGGTGGCTTTGCAAGTTGGAACTTATGAACAGCAAGGCGGTAGAAGAAGTGCATTTGTGCAAAGGGGTATAAATTTGCCTGAACAGCAAGGCGGTGGAAGAAGTGCATTTCCGCAAAGGGGTATAAATTTGCCTGAACAGCAAGGCGGTGGAAGAAGTATATTTCTGCAAAGGGGTATAAATTTGCCTGAACAGCAAGGCGGTGGAAGAAGTGCATTTCCGCAAAGGGGTATAAATTTGCCTGAACAGCAAGGCGATGGAATCCCATTTGATGAAAGGTGCACTACCAGTAAGGATGAAGAAGAAATTAAAAGGAGTCACAAAACGGAGCACAGGGAAAAAGGGGACGAACTTGACGAGGAAAGCAAGATATGTGAAGGGGATGATGACGAAGAGGTGAATTCTCCACCGTGTATTTCTAACCCTCCAACTAATGGAAGTGAGATGAAAGGGAAAAAAAGTAAAAAGAGAAAAAAAAAAAAAAAAAAAAAAAAAAAAAAAAAAAATTATAAGAGTAGAAGCAAATCTAACAACCTTAAATCCATCGAAGAAATGTTACAAGGGATGAGTATATTCCATAACAAGTATGCTATGCAGTATATTTTAAAAAAAATAGTGAAAGAAAAGCAAAATGTATTGTTGAAGTATGCTAAAAGGAAGAGAGAGTTTGAGTTCATCCAAACGTGCACATCTGTAATTATTCATGACAAAGGAGATGATGTAGGTAAATGGACTGGTTATGGCGAACGAGGGGAGGAAATAGAAGAAGAGGAGAACCTTACTAATTTTTCAGCGATTAAAAAAGGAAACAGATTAGAGGCTGGAGTGGAGGCGGAGGAAGATGATAAAGGAAGACATATGTTAGCAGCAGAGGATGTAGACAAAAAGAAGTTCTTGCAATCCCCAATATTAGAAAACATTAAACACTGCTTCATCACTGTTAATAATGAAAATATGAGCAAAAAAGAAGAGTTAAAATACAAAATGATAGTGGTGTTAAAAATAATAAAAGAAATAAAGTTTAATCAATGTTTTTTATTCATCAATAATACATATGAAGGAGTGCAAGTAAGTAAAATGTTAAAAAAGTATAATGTTTCATGTTATTATACGAGTTCTAAAATTGAACATAATGAAAGGATTAAGTTTTTTAATAATTTTAAAAAAAAAAATATAAAAATAGTTGTATGTACTGATGTCATGAGCAGAGGAATTGACAATATCGTTTGTGATTTGGTTATAAATTTCGACATTCCACGTAGCAAAGAAACGTACATTCATAGATCAGGTAGATGTGGTAGGTATGGAAACAAAGGATTGTGCATAAGTTTGTGCAATTACTCAGATTACAATTACCTCTACTACTTCAAGTATCAGTTAAAGTTGGATGTTCACGATTTCTGCTACATACGTAAGATGAAAAGTGCGAGGAATGTCGAGCAGCGACAACTCTTGGAAGATCCTCCACAAGACGTCACTTGGTGGAATTATGATGACTACACATGTAGATGCAGTAATGGTGAAAATAGAGGCGACAGAGGTGAGCACATGCTGGAAAGACCACACGGGGTAGAAGTGGGTTCAGAAGTGGGTTCAGAAGTGGGTTCAGAAGTGGGTCCAGAAGTGGATTCAGAAGTGGGTCAAGAAGTGGGTTCAGAAGTGGGTCCAGAAGTGGGTTCAGAAGTGGGAAGTTTAAAGGACATTGGGGCAGGGTTCTACGGTGATTCCAGCAGAGAGACGCAGGAAGCTGCTCCTGATTCAAAGAGTATCGACATTGCACAAGAACGTGCATACCGCTACCCAAGACGCCATGTGTGTTCATGGAAAGACTTCAAAGTAAACATCAAAGGGTTCTACACCAAAGATATAAAGATTTGTAATGGGAGAAACAATAATATAAGCAATGTTTACGTAAAAGTATGCTTCAAAAATTTAGTAACAAAATTGAAAATTGTAAGAAATGAAATTTGTTGCCACTTTTCGGTGCCAAATGATAATGTAAATTTCTTTAAAAATATAAGCATTATTCAGCATAAGTCCAATGTAATTATTTATTTCCATTTTGATAGAAACGTTAAGATGCATTACTCGGCCTTTCGTCCTCTGTGTCATATACAAGAAGGGGTGGAGAAAGAGAAGGGAACCAAGTACTGTGAATCCAATTTCTGCATGCTGTTTTTTTGCAATTCGCATAGTTACTTGGTACTTAAGATTTTTTACGCTTTTCTCTTTCTGTTTAAGCATTACAAATATCCTCTAAAGGATGACGTGGATGCATTGTTGGTGCACACGCGAGTGGGAAATGTGACAAGGTGGGAGAAGCAACCAGGGGTGGAGTGCAGACCGAGTGGAAGCAGACGAGACGATAACTACGTGTCTGACACGTGCCTGCTGATAAGGGAATCCCTGAAGAAGGGAGAAAAAAAGAGAAAAAAAAAAACAAAGGGATATGAAAGCGATGAGGAATTTCTTCTGAACAACAGACAAGGATTAAAAATAAGCACTTTTCAAAAAGCAATGTTTTATCCATTCCTTTTAAAAAATAAAAATGTACATCTCCTAAATGGAAAATCATTTGATAAGGCATCATGGACGGGCAGTACTAATTCTGCAACGCACAAAATTGATTATGATATTTTAAAAGAGAGAGAAAGGGAACTAACCGCAAACTCATTACCATTTCAAAGTGCTCTTAATGAGTTAAAAATAAATGCATATGAGAAAAAAAAATTGACGATATTTTCTGAACAATGTAATGAAGTTATCTGTAAAAATGACTACCACGGCATTGTCTACGCAATTAATGATTTACTAGCATCGCAAATATTTCTTAATTTAAAAACAACGGAAGAAAATGTACATTTGTTAAAGAGTCTTTTTCTACAAAATCATTTACAATTGCATCGAACGATTAATGAATCTTTCACATTTTAGAGTGAAGCGTGAAAAAGAGAAATAAAAAATTGTACAACATGCATGGTACAATGGGATATGTGTGAACATGTGTGCACACACTGAAACAACAAGTGCAAAGAAAAAAAACAAAAATTGAAATAATACCTCGCAAGGGATATCCAAATAGTTCACCGGAAGGATCATATGTAATGACAAAGAGTAAATGCATGTAAAGTCAACTTGTGTTTTCAAAAAAGAAACAGAAGTAAAGGGTTCACTTCAGAACTAAATATTCTTGGGCACAAATTGGAGAAACTTAATTTTCATCGCTGCTGACTCCCATTTCGGCTGTCACTAAGGGGTGATAGAAGTGGTGACAGACGTGGTGACAGACGTGGTGGTAGAAGTAATGACAGACGTGGTGATAGAAGTGATGACAGAAGTAGTAACAGACGTGGTGGTGGAAGGAGGGGAAGGTGAAAAGGTTCCATGTATAAACTGTTTGAAAAGGGCAATGCAATTGATGTATTTTGAAAAAACAAGGAAACGCAAAGAAAACATTGGTCAAAAAGAAAAACAAAATGAGGACAACATAGGGAAAAACAAAACAAGAAAAAGTTGCGTAAAGGCGAGAAAAGGTACGTACTTGAAAAATATTTCTGTTGCATTTCGTTAATCTTCCCATGGATGTGTGCATGGTGAGGGTGAGGAAGAAAAGAAAAAATAAGAAAAAATAAGAAAAAAAAAAAAAGAAGCATATGTCTAAACCTGCGTAGGTAACTAATCCAGTGTAGTCGACTAAATCTACATTTTTCTAAATGTATGCTTATGCGATTATGTGCATATATTTTTCCCTTTTTTTTGGTGCACTGGGTATAGATGAACGTAGACACCAATTGCTAACAACTTACATCCTTCGAAAGCTCCGTAGCCTCCGACATGAGGTCACAAATTTCTTCTTGTACCTTTGTCTGAAATTGAAGATATATTTTCGTGTAGTTTTCTTCGTGGAAGTTGTACTTGAGGACTGCAGCGAGGGGAGGGGTGAAAAAGGGAAAAAAAAGAAAAATCGAAAAAAAGAAAAATCGAAAAAATGAAAAATCGAAAAAAAGAAAAATCGAAAAAAAGAAAAATCGAAAAAATGAAAAAACCATAACTTGTAAGATTCATCACTGCGTATGACGACATAGAAATATTTTCTTTTCTTTTTCTTTTCTTTTTCTTTTCTTTTTCTCTTTCTTTTCTTTTTCCCTCTTTGATTTTATGGCATCCATTGATCATGCACGCACGTGCTAGCATCACACATCGCTCATTTCGTGATAAGTACAGACTTACAGTGTTCGTGGTATTTATGTGGAGATGTCTTGGTGTTGTTACTCTGAATAATTTTGTTGTATAGTGTGACGGTGGGGTTTCGAAAAATTATTTCTTCGTATGTCTGCAGAAGGTCAAAATTGGATGGTTGGACAGTTGGAGAATTTCCAATTTTTTTTTTTTTTTTTTCTGCTATTGCAGTGGGTGTAGCTTCCGTTTCCAGTGAGGAACGACTGAAATAAGGCTCCATATTTTTTTGCATTTTTCCTTGGAATCTCTTTCATTCCACGAAGAGGTATTTTTACCTCGTTCACGACACAGGGTGGGCACGTCTCCCCTCCATCCGTATTTAGCTATTCATAAAAGAATGGAGAAAATGAAAAGCGATAAAGAATGGAGGAAAAAAATGGAGGAAAAAAATGGAGGAAAAAAATGGAGGAAAAAAATGGAGGAAAAAAATGGAGAAAAAAAATGGAGAAAAAAAATGGAGAAAAAAAATGGAGAAAAAAAAATAGGAGAAGAAATCATCCCTGCAGAATAAGCAATCGCTAATAAATTGGAGGCAACAAAACGGAGGTTAATCAACAAGACCCAACGCCCAACAAGTAATACCTTCACAAAGTGCACAATGTTTACGGGTGGAAGGGAAGAATCAGCAAAGTAAATTTTCACAGTAAGGTAGAACTCTCCCCATCCAATTTCGTTAACTTCGTATGGTGGTTGTGTATAAACTGCAGAAAAAAAAAAAGAGCAGAAGTGCGGGAGACGTGAAAAGAAGTAGTGTCAGAAAGATTTGATGCTGTTTATGGTGGGATATCCCATGTGGCCACATAAAAGGAGAGGGGTGAGTGATCTATAATATCTGCATTGGTCATCCAAATTCTTGTATGCATTTGTTCATTTATAAATGAATAGACATATTAAGTGCGCATGTGTCAGACCTCTCTTGGGATATATGAAGGATGGATCCAATTCAAAAACCACTTTATTTACGAACAGAGAAATGTCTGAAGAATTAGGGCATCTCAGTAAGCAAGTCCATTTGTGCGTCATATTTCCATACTTTCTCTTTTCCTGTTATGTATTCATTTATTCATTCATTTGTGTGTTTACATATTCATTTATTCATTCATTTGTGTGTTTATATATTCATGCATTTGTGTGTTGATATATTAATTTTTTTTGTTCATTTATGTTTTTATTTATTCATTTTTTTTTTTTTTTTTATATTAATTTTTTTATTCGTTCATTTATGCATTTATTCATTCGTTTGTGTATTTATTTTTATTTTTTTTTTTTTTTTTTTTTTTGTGGTGTTTAAATTGAGGAATAAAAAAATGGGAAGCGTGTACATGGGTATTATATTTTCAAGTTGACACAAATTAAAGAACGTAGATGAACCCGTAGATGCACATTAATGGTGGGCACGCACGGAATCACGTTCTTTGGTCTCTGTGTGTATACCTGCTGTGAAAGCAAAAAGGCGTAGGTTCCAACGACCACAGGTTTGACCAGCTTGACATTTTGCATACGGTTCTCCACTGAAAAATAATTGGGGGTGTAGGGGCACATGAAAATCGGACACTTGAACGAGGGTTTTAATTTTTGTTAAATATGATAAAAACATTTTGTACTAGCTGCGTCCCAAATTGTACTTGTGGGAGAAGTGCTTATATAAACACTGTTGGTGTAAGCGGTAAGAAAAAGCCATGCGTAGGTGCGAATGCTTGGCACCCCACCTCCACGTCTCATTCGTATGACTATTTTTACTCCTATTATGTCTCTACTACTTTTACTCCTACTACTTCTCAACTACTTTTACTCCTACTACTTCTCAGCTACTTTTACTCCTACTACTTCTCAGCTACTTTTACTCCTACTACTTCTCAACTACTTTTACTCCTACTACTTCTCAACTACTTTTACTCCTACTACTTCTCAACTACTTTTACTCCTACTACTTCTCAACTACTTTTACTCCTACTACTTCTCAACTACTTTTACTCCTACTACTTCTCAGCTACTTTTACTCCTACTACTTCTCAACTACTTTTACTCCTACTACTTCTCAACTACTTTTACTCCTACTACTTACTTCTTTAAAAGGAATGATACACATATGTAACACACATCAACATGTACAAATGATTCTTCACTTGATTTTTTTTTTTTTTTGTTTTTACTAATATGCATATTGTGGAATCATTTTATATTGCTCTTCTGGGTAATACTCCCAACCGTTTGTAAATTCTCGAATCGGGCTTAAGTGAATCGAAACAAGTGAGGAAAGCAGTAAAAAGGTGGAAATAAAATGTAGTGGCTTTTTCACAGTATTGAAAAAAAAAAAAAAAAACAACGCTTTAGTCAGTATATATATATATATATATATATATATATATATATATATACGTACGTAAGGACGTATGTATGTATTACTTAAGTATATATACATACATTTATATACACATATATGTTCATGTAAAAACAGTACAAATATATCCATAGGATGGAATAAACTAGGTGTGATCGTTTATAGTGCTGTTTTTTTTTTTTTTTTTTGGAGAAAAGTGGAAAGAAAGAAGGAATTAGATTGGAAGATAAAAACTACATTTGCATAAAAACAGTGTTCTGTTTTAGATTCTATGACACAACCTTCTCTGTGTATTCGTCCCCATTATGTGCATCACGTCATTTTAAGAGAAAAAAATAGGTTCCATATACTCTTCATGCAAATTCATTTTATTGTACCATCAGGGAAATCCTTTTCATGTTTTTTCTAAAATGTTTCATATCAATACACCACCTCTCACTCAATGCACATACGCAGAAAGCACCAACATATAGATGTAACCTTTTTTTTTAATATAAGCTCCTTAAATGGATGGGCAAAAAAAAAAAAAAAGGGAGACTCGTTAGTATTCACCTTCTAGGTGCCCTAAGTTTATATGAAGCATGAATATTTGCAAATTGGAAAATTTTGGTGTGGTCTACCCAAATTAGTTTTTTTTTTTTTCCTTTTTTTATGCCATCTCATCTCGTTTCATCTCGTTTCACCTCGCTTGACTTCGCCGCACATTATTTTCTTTCTTCCTTTTATGCGCCCTCGATATATCAAGCAGTGTACAAAGCGAGGGTTGAGGTAAAAAGATACAATTTGTGTGATTAATTTTGTGGGCTTAATTTTGTGTGCTTAATTTTCTGGGCCCAATTTTGTGGGCTTAATTTTGTGTGCTTAATTTTCTGGGCCCAATTTTGTGGGCTTAATTTTCTGGGCTTAATTTTCTGGGCCCAATTTTGTGGGCTCAATTTTGCAGAATTAGAAAATTTGACTAGTTCCCCCAAAAAAAAGAAAAATGGAAAAAATTTGGAAAAAGGAGAAGAGAAGAGCAAACTCTTTCTTATAGTTACCTCAGGAGAGAGGATGTGCTAAATTTTATTTCTGCATTACCCATGGCTACACCCACCTCAGGTGTAAACAAGGTGGCATCGAGTGCACGCAAAAGTAAACACACATGTTTGTGTGGTTGTGTGTTTATATGCATGGTCGAGACACACACTATCCCTTTCTGCTACGTTGCATGGTTTGGAAGCTTTTTACTTATCGCTTCTGAATCTGTTTCCCCTCCACGACAATGAGTGAGCCAGGCAAGGAGGTTGTCAATCCAGGGCAAAGCAGAAGGCAAAGCAGAAGGCAAAGCGGAAGGCAAAGCGGAAGGCGAAGCAGAAGCAGAGAGAGGCACATTCATTTCAGCGTGGTAAGAATCATAAGAACAATAGCAATGATGCTGCTGATGAGAGGTGGGAATTCTGTCAAAATGAGGAAAAACAAAGGATCATATGGGTACATGGTCGAAGCAGGAAGAAGAAATGGACGAATGAATTTCGAGATGAAGAAATTTCACGACTGTTTTGTCCAATCCTGTATTTTAAAAGGAAAAAATGAGAAAGGTCCGAGGAATCAGAGAAATCAAAGACAGCAGGGAAAACAGAGAAATCTAATAAACTTAACAAATCGAACAAACCAGAGAAATCTAATAAGCTTAACAAATCGAACAAACCTGACAAGTCAGAAAAGTGCGCGAAAAAGAAAAAATAACTTCCCTCTCTATAACTTCGAACGGAGCGTAGATAAAGTAACAGGGCATTTTATGAAAGATAAAGATTTATTTATAGAAGTTGATAAAAAACAGAAGATGATAGAAGAAATTGAAAAAATGAGCGATCTGCAATATGAGCATGTGCAAAAATATCTAGACGTCTTAAGTGAAAATGATGTATACGAGGAAATTATAAATCATAAAATTCACCTGTACAAAAAAGGCAACGAACCGGAGAAGCAAGCCAATTTAGTCAAAATTCAAAATTTTTTAAATCCACATATAATAAGCTTACGAAAAAAAAAAGCCAAAGAAAAAGTAGAATATCTCATAGCTAGCTTAATTAAAGGGGAAAATGTAGATCAAATAATTATGAACATGTTTCAGAAAAAGTTAATAGATATCTATGTACTTACATTTATTGATGATAAGATAATGGAAGCTCATACGAAGCTTTTAAAAAATAATCAAGTGGAGCGAATAGATGGAAGTGGGGACAGCAGCAGAGATGAGATTAACCATCGAGCTCTAGATGGGAATAGCACAACAGGAGATAGCCAAATCAGTATTACAGAAAGAATTCTAAGAACTCTGAAGGATCGAATCATAGCACAACAGAAGCTACAAGTAAAGGGCACATTTGACTTCACAAGAATATTATTTCTATCAACTACCTTAGATCTAAGTGAGGACAGACAACCAATTATTAAATCAGTTATTAAAAGCTTAGAACAATTAGAAGAGTTTGAACTTTACTTGTTAGATGCACTAGACTATGCTGAACAAAATGAAAAGGTAAAACACTACGTTCCTCATTTGGAACTTCTCCTACGCACATGCAAAAAGATGAACCCCATTTTTAACCAGCTCTTAAATAAACAGACAGAAAACGTTCGCTTCTTCCCCGACAAGGTCGACTTGTCGCAGTTTCGGGAGTTGTAGCTGTTCAAGCTGTTGCATTTATTGTAGTGGCTTCAGCTGTTGCAGTTGTTTGCGTGGTTGATATACTGATGGGATGTTTTTTTTTTTTTTTTCTTCCCTTTTAAGGATCCCAGCGCTTGCATGACTTAGCCCGTTATGTAGTAGTCCTTTTTGTCGTGCTCGTTTGTCCTGCATTTCGCTCAATGTCTTTGTCTTAATTTTAAGTTTTTTTCGCATACACAACATTTCGTTTACCCATACCCATCTGTGCAATTTGCACATTTACCAAGGCATATTTGTCACTACATACTTGTGATCACATATTCGTAGTAATATATACCAGCGCAGCTGTTTTTTTTTTTTTTTTTTTTTTTTTTTTAAGTACGTACCTGCATGTTAATTCTATTTTTGATGTGTAATATTTCACCCCATTTGGGCACATTACAACAGTTTTACAATTATGCAGAAAATGCCCATCCTAAAAAAAATTCAGGTAAAAGCTGTCTTATATTTCCATTCGAAAAAAAAAAAAAAGTGCTGTGTTTGTAATAAAACTGGAAAAATAAAATATGAGTGAAAAACGAATGGCAGAAAAATGTGAATCAATTTGAAATGAAGTTGCACAAGGACACTGCAGGAGAGGAGAGGAAGACAGACACCATGTTACAACACGGATGTAGCAGGAAAAAAAAAAAATGTATTCAATTCATGTTATTTACAATTTAAAGAAGAAATCTTTTCTGAAGAAAGCTGAGCTAGCCAATGTTTTTTTTTTTTTTTTTTTTTTTTTACCTGTGTAGCTTTTTTATTTTATTTTATTTTTTTTACTTGTGTAGGTTTTTTTTTTTTTTTTTTTTATTCATTTGCCTTAACAGGTCATGTAGCATAATTGCAAATTTGTGCATTCTAAGCGAAAGAATCAAATGAGTTGTTAAAACAAGTAAAAAAAAAAATAAAATAAAAAAGTGTATATACGAGTGCGCGTTTTAAACATGGTGACAAATGTGCACATAAAACACACATATGTAAATGGCAACATCGGTATGTTATAAATGTGAATTCTCATGTATATGTACATTTGGAAGAAGAAGAAGAAGAATGGCAAGTGGCGCGAATGCCAATACTTGAACAAAAAAACAAAAAGCTATAACAACCCTCTCTGCTGCTATATACCCAGGAGGGGAAATCGAAGTGGTAGAAATCTGCATGCATAGGTGAATAACAAAAAAGTAAGCTGAGAGTGGAAAAGAGAGAGAAGTTTTTTTTCTTTTTTTTATATAGGAAAAAGTACATGTATATATTCACTATTTTCACCATTGGGTATTCTTTTCTCAAGGGTACTCTCCACTGTTATGTAAAATGTATGCATATTTATATATGTATACGCTGCAAACCATTTTCGTAAGGTTTATAATTTTCGCAGCGTGTGTAACTTTCGCATCGTACGTAACTTTCGCATCGTGTATAAATTTCGCAGTTTGTATAACTTTTACGTGTATATTTTTGCACATTATGCATGTGTTCATTCCCCACCCCTTCTTCATATGTGCGTAAATGTACCAAAAGAAAAAAAAAAAAAAAAAAAAAAAAAAAAAAAGGAATATCGCGCGTTTGCAGAGGAACATTTTTTCTTTTTTGCTCGAAAAAGTGACACTTTAACGATAAAGGAGAAAAGAAAAAAAAAATTAAGGCGGCAAAAATTGAGGAAAAAATTGAGGAAAAAATTGAGGAAAAAATTAAGGTAAAAATTGAGGAAAAAATTAAGGTAAAAATTGAGGAAAAAATTAAGGTAAAAATTAAGGTAAAAATTAAGGTAAAAATTAAGGCAACAGTTGAGGCAACAGTTGAAGCAGCAACTGAGGCCAAGTTTACCCAAAAAAGTTTCGCAAAAAAAAAAAAAGTCAGGGAAAAGAAGAAAAACGGAGGAAAAAATTAAAACACTCAAGAAAAACGCAAAAAAAAAAAAAAGAAAGGAGTCATTTGAAAAAAAAAAAAAAGCAGAAGAGGCAGAAAAAGCGGAAGAAGTAGAAGAAGCCGAAGAAGCCGAAGAAGCGGAAGAAGCAGAAGAAGCGGAAGAAGCGGAAGAAGCGGAAGAAGCCGAAGAAGCGGAAGAAGCAGAAGAAGCAGAAGAAGCGGGAAGAAGCAGAGAAGAAGGAAAAAAGGATGGACAAGGGATGTATACAAAATTGGAGCTAATTCATTTTTGTACATGATTCCCCAAACCTTTATGTATTGAAACATAATTCCTCCTCTCTTCATGCTAGTGTGTACCTTTTGAAAAGATCACCATATGTTTTTTACAATATTCGCATAATATACCATTCGTGCCTACGAGTGTGGGATGAATGCTTCCACAGTCAGAAGGCGTAAAAAAGAAAAAGAGAGAAAGAAAAAAACCCAATCCCCTGAAGACACAAAATTGTCACGTTCGCAGTTGAAAAGAAAATATACACACTTTTTCATTTTTGTATATTTGCTTTACATATTCGTTAGAACGTGCAAAGGTTTTTTCACGCTTGATCGCTGCACGTTTGGCCAATGCACATTTAACCGCTTAACATTTTGAATTTCCATTTTTTCTCGCTTTCCATTTTTTTCACGTCATCCCCTCTCCTCCTCCCCCATTGGGTGCTTCTGCTGATTCTGCTGATTATATCTGAGGAATAGAAGTAATGCGTAGTAGAATGACATAACTCAGACATTCAAAGGGGTGGAGAAATGAAATCGTTCACATATCTCCGCCCTTTTGTTGGTTTTAATTCTACACGCAGTTGTGTAGTACATGAGTGTATATATATATATATATATATGTATGTATACATGTTACATGCACAGTGCTTTCTCTCCTCCCACTCCAGTGCAGACAACTCAATCGTCAATTCTTGATGGAAGAAGCAAGAAGAGCAATTTGATTTTTGCTTCTTTCGCATGTAAAATTATACGTGACATCAGCACTGTAGTCTGAAGCTCCACACACACAGATACTCATACGTATGTATACATACGTACGCACTTACATGCATACACACATACGAAACATAAAAGTAGATACAAGGGCCCCCACCATCACACACCCTTTCTTAATGCTACAAATTTTGTGAAGATGGGAATATTTCGATCAGAGGTAAGCAATGAAGAGTGAACTCCCACAGAGATTTGCTGTGACAAATTTTTCGACTCAAGGGGAATGATCAAATTTTCGAGTTGATTCGTCTCCAAAAATTTTAATGGGTAAAATGCCCCAATGTGAAAAAAAGTTTCATACATTTTCCCATTAAAATGAATTTGTCATCATATTTTTTCTGTACACTCACTTTTTTTTAGACGATGAAACACGGGACGCTAGTCCTTCCATCGGATAGAGCAAGAGAATATTTGGATTGTCTAGGAAAGCATGTAGACATACAATTTATTGATATGAATGAGAAGACAATGAAGAGACAATACAAAAAGTACATTCAAAGAATTGATGATATGGAGAGGATCTTACGATTTTTAGAAGAAAATATAAAAAAGTTACCAAATGTAAAAATAAAGAAAAGTAAGATCGATTCATTTTTAGAACATGACAATGTTTATGAATTGGATCAAGTAGAAGAATCATTGAATCGGTTACATGTGCAATTTGTTCGATTTTGTAACAATAATAAAGATTTAGTGAATGAAAGAAATAATGCAATTGAAGAGAAGCATGTAATATTAACAGCTATAAATCAACTGAATCCAGACATTTCTAAAAATGTAAATGTGAACAACAGATTAGTAGAGAAATCTTTACCATATGATGATGTAAATATTAATGATGAAAAGTTATCACTCCAAACAAATATGATGAAAGATGGGATGAATATGATGTTTACAAACATAGCAGGTGTGATAAAAACGAAAGATCAAGAAAGTTTTAGTCGTACTATATTTAGAGCTCTAAGAGGAAATACATATACATATTTTCAAAATATAGATGAAAATGTAAACTTATCTAAAGGTGGAAATGTTGCTAGTGGTAGTAGTGGTGGAGGTTGTGGTGGCATAATCGATGGTAATAACAATGATGATGATGATGAGGATGGTAATAATGATGATAATGAAACATCCTCTCCCCCGATCAATAACCGAAATGAGGAAGACACAATGGATGAAAGAAATGATATGCACAATGGTGATAAATCAGAGAAGAACGACTTAAAAAGTGTATTTGTTGTGTATTGTCAAGGGTCTTCACAAAGCAATATATATGATAAGATCATGAAGATATGTAAAGCATATGATGTAAAGACATATGATTGGCCCAAGACATGTGAACATGCAAAACAGAGATTGAAAGAGTTGAAAGAAATTATTAATGATAAAGAAAAAGCTTTAAGAGCATATGAAGAATATTTCATAAATGAAATTTTTGTTCTTATAAATGTAGTAGAACCGAATAAAAATAGTCTGATAGAAGAATGGAAATTATTTTGTAAAAAAGAAAGATATATATATAACAATTTAAATTATTTCGAAGGTAGTGACATAACATTACGTTGTGATTGTTGGTTTAGTGCAAATGATGAAGAAAAAATTAGGCACATTTTAATTATGAAATCATCAAATGATCTTGTTTCTGCATTGTTACTTTCGGATAAAGTTTTGACACCTAATATTTCTCCACCTACATATATAAAAACAAATATTTTCACAAAATCATATCAATCAATGGTAGATACATATGGAGTTCCACGTTATGGAGAAATTAACCCAGCCATTTCTACAATTATAACATTTCCCTTTTTGTTTGGAATCATGTATGGAGATGTTGGACATGGAGTATGTTTATTTCTTTTTGCCCTTTTTCTAATTTTGATGAATAATCGTGTAAAAAATAAAAGTCAAAATGAAATGGTAACTATGTTATTTGATGGTAGATACATGCTTTTATTGATGGGTTTCTTTGCAATTTATGCTGGATTTTTATATAACGATTTTTTTTCGATGCCTTTAAATTTGTTTACATCTATGTTTGAAGTGGATAATGAAGTGGACTCCGTTTTATATTACAAGAGAAGACAAGTGATGAATAATAACACTGGAAAGATGGAAGATGCAGATCCATATATTTTCGGTTTTGATACCAAATGGTTAGGAGCAGAAAATGAATTGACATTTATAAATTCTTTTAAAATGAAATTTTCTATTATTATTGGATTTCTTCACATGACATTCGGAGTGCTTATGAAAGGATTGAACGTATTACATTTTAAGAATAAAATGGATTTTTTTTTTGAATTCTTACCACAATTAATTATGATGTTTGCAATTATTGGTTATCTGGTCTTTCTGATTATTTACAAATGGGTTACTCCTATAGGGTATGGTGGGTTTCAGAAGCAAGGTATCATAAACACAGTTATAAATATGTACCTTATGAAAGATATAACAATGAATAATCAATTTTATGCGAATCAAGGTATTGTCCAAGCATTCATAATGGCTGTATTTATTTTGTGTGTTCCATTCATGTTCATTTGTAAACCAGCTATCCGAACATACCATATTATGAAAGAGAAGAGAAAAAATAATCGAAGAGGTAGCTCAGTTAACAACAGCAGTTATTATGGTGACTACGAAGGGAAGGAAATGACACACACGTTTAATCACTTGGAGAATGTAATGGGTCCAGGTGGAGGAGGAAGAGGAGGAGGTTCTAGAGGGGATGATAGACCCGATAGAGATGGTGGTTTTGTCTCCTCTTCTCCCAATGGAATAGGAGCAACAATCCCTTTGTCTGGAAAAAACAATCGTAACAGTTCCAATTTGAGTAGACAAGAAGATGGTGGAATTGTGAATAACAGATTGGATAATAATTCACCCTCGAGAAGAAGAAACAAGAAACCAACGGATGACGAGATGGAAGCACATCTATTGGGTCCTCCTTTATCCCATGATGATCCAAATGAACATTATCCAGATGATCGTTTTGGAATAAGAGTTGGAGTTGCTGGTGGTGGGGAAGGAGCAATTGGTGTTGATGACGAATCTTTAGGAATGACAGAATCAGGGATACACCATGAAGAAAACATTTCTGAAATATGGATTGAACAATTTATTGAAACGATTGAATTTATTTTAAGCCTTATAAGTAACACAGCATCTTATTTGAGATTATGGGCATTATCACTAGCTCATCAACAGTTATCATTTGTATTTTTCGAACAGACCATATTGAGTTCTTTGAAGAAAGACAGTTTTATTTCAGTACTCATCAGTTTGATTTTGTTTTCCCAATTATTTTCAATCCTGACAATAGCAGTTATACTTTGCATGGATACACTCGAGTGCTTCTTGCACTCCCTGAGGTTGCAATGGGTTGAATTTCAGAACAAGTTCTACAAGGGAGATGGTATTCCCTTTAGACCCTTCAATATTAAGAAGTTACTTTCAGAAAGTGATTAAGACTGAGGGGTGGAAGAGGAGGAGGAGGAAGGGGAGACAAACCTGGGGAGAAACCATTCAGGATGACCTCATCAAAGTTACCCCGATGGTTTTATATACACACACATACCGCTGAATAGTGAGAGATAGAAGATGAAACAGAAGAATGAGAAGAGAGGAACTCCAATTAACTTCCACCTTCTCCTCAAGCACAAGCACATGCGCGAAGGTTCAAACATTTTATGTACCCATGTGTCCTCTCGTATTCCTATTCTAAGCCATTTTCTTCCTTGAGCTTGCTTTGCTTCCTTTTTTTTTTTTTTTTTTTTTTTTTGTTGTTGTTGTTGCTGAATGCATGGAAGTCGCTCGAGGTGACGAACCGAAGTAGATTCATTTCGTGAGCTCCGCTCGTTTATGTCGTAAGACGCAGGTGCACCACCGATATATGAACATGTACAAGTATATACTTATATTTATATATACATATATATATATTATACCCCTTTTGCAAATTATGCGAACATGTAGACACGTCATAATAATCTTTTAATCTCCAAATGATTTAGAGAGCCACTCCAAAGGGAGCAGTAGAATATGACACAAAAAAGGTTAGCATGACAAATGTTCAGTTCTCGGAGGGAAAGGAAATTGTGAAAGTGAAAGTTAGGTAATGAAATCTCATTTGCTGAGAAAAAAAAAAAAAAAAAAGTAACTCATTTGGGTGGATGGGGGAGAGTAAATACAAAGATGGTGACATGGCTGCAACGTGTATATGAGAAGTTACGTATCTTCAGTATGAGACAGGCTCACTAAATTAGGAATCTATATTTGCACAATCTGCTGCAGAACATTTTGCAGATTTTGATAAATAACATCATTGCATGAAAGACTTCTGCACACCTTTGTATCCATTTGGAAGCGTGCAATAAATGCATCAATGTCGGAGCGAATAATATGTTTAATAAACTTGGTGGATCGTGTGTTACAAAAAAATTGGATACATATGTTCACAAAGTGATCAAATAGTGATTTGTATATATTTTCAAAGGTACTGTCAAATAGCAAGAGGTAGAAAGTATGGAAATTTTTTGTTACTACATAATTAAATCTCTCATCTATTGATATAGGCTTACACTTTTTACTAACATTTGAGTATGTGTCTATGTCTGCTTTTACTGACATGCTACTTAAACTGGTAAATGTGAGTTCCTTCTCTGTGCTTTCAATTCTGAAAATCATAGTGACACTCCCAGGTGGCAGAGTATTAGTAGATTCAACAAATTTTGCTCCATTAGTCGGTTGTGCTTTTTGGGATACTTGCCCACTTAGAACAAACCCCCGTAAGTTAAATACTCGAAGTAACTGTGTAACAAAACCCAAATTAGGATTCGACAGCTGACGACGTTTTTTAACGATTTCAAATGCTTCTGAAAATTTTAAATTTAGCCGATTCATTAAAAAAAATATAATTACAATTACAGATCGAGATATTCCCTTATTACAATGTACGAGAATTTTATTTTTTTCATTTGTATTCAGCACTGTTTCTATGAAATATGTCACATCCAGTAAGATGTAAAAAATATCCTCTTGTATGTCATCCTTAAGGTGGTAGGTTCTATACAAAAGAGTATCTTGGAATTTATTTGGACATTCATTTCCAGCCATGTTAATAATATGCGTGATTTTTTTTTTTCTTAAATTAAAAATATTGCATGCAAATTTGTATCCGCTTAAGAACAATCGTTTCTCGAAAATTTCACTGCAACTGTTGCTAATCATTGTCAAAACGTCTGTCCTCTTTGTTTTACCATCATCGTTACTCCCAGCATTGTCCTTCTCACTATTATTTCCTTTCTGTGAATCTGATCCTCCTTTTTTCTTTTTAAACGGTCCCAAATTTAATGTCTCAACTTTGATCTCTCGAATTGATAATTTCTTTTCAGCTTCTAAATATGAAGAAACCTTTAAACTCCCTGTATCATCATTTTTTTTAAGAATAGTGGGTTCATCTTCTCTTGAGGGATGATAACAACTATTCTCTTGATGCTCTTCACGAGTGATAGGACTCCACGCATCTATCATCTTGCATATATCACTTGCATCTCTTGGTCTAGATGTGGTTGATCTTGTGCTGAATAATTCTGAAGCTTCTTTTTTCTCTTCCACTGAAACGCAATTTTTCCTTTCTCTATCATCCGTATCGCCTTCCATATGTCTTTGTTGTAAAACCGTTGTAATATTTCTTCTCATAAGAAGATATGCATGTCTTTGTTGCAAAACCGTTGTAATATTTCTTCTCATAAGAAGATATGCATGTCTTTGTTGCAAAACCGTTGTAATATTTCTTCTCATAAGAAGATATGCATGTCTTTGTTGCAAAACCGTTGTAATATTTCTTCTCATAAGAAGATATGCATGTCTTTGTTGCAAAACCGTTGTAATATTTCTTCTCATAAGAAGATATGTCTTTTTGTTTTTTTCCTTCCGGGTGATACTTTTCCTCACTATAGAGTTGGTAGGAAAAAAAAAAAAAAAAATGATCTACTAGCTAAGATAGAACTCTTCTCTTTTTTTTTTTTTTTTTCCTTCTTTTTTTCATTGTTCTCTCTTTCTGCTTGGTTAGTATTTCCCACCGTTTCGTTTTCTGATATTCCTTTTTTTTTTTTTATCACTTCGCTTGGGGCTAAGTTCCGAAAAAGAAGAAGAGAGCCGAAAATGGAAGAAAAAAAAAAGAAGAGAGCCGAAAAAATGGTTAAACAAAAAGTTCTAGCTAATCGTGTCGGTAGTGATTGTCACACAAATCGCAACATGTAAGAATCAAATATTGTCATGAAGCCTTGATCTTCTTTTCCCCCTCTTCATAAATACAACGTGTGCAATTGTGCAATTGTGTAAGTGTCTAGTGTGCGTGTGTTGACAAGTGCCCACCTCCACTGATTGAGATTCACCTGCTCGTTTTACTGCTTCTCTCTCCTCCAACAACAATTATTTTTTTGAAGCCTCATGAGGTGAAAAAGAATACTTTCCCTGTCTCCTTTGTGATAAATTTTAGCACTTTGGAAGTTTTCTTCTCATTTTTTTTTTTTTTTTTTTTTTTTTCCCCCTTTACGCAGAGAAGAATAGATCTTTCAAAAATTAAGTGTACATTGATGAGTAGTAAAATTATTCTCTTGTAACCTTCAAAAAAATGTTTTCAACATTTGATTTTTTTTTTTTTTTTTTTTTGTCTTTGCAGAAAATGTCATTTGGTATGCTTTGGATTAACATTTCAGAAAATATCTTGAGATGTCTGCACTCTTTAGCTTTGCAGGAAAGAAAAAAAAAAAAAAAAATTCTGCAATATGCACGGTGTTTAAACACACCTCGATATATTGTTTGCATTTTTCCAAATTGACTCACATGTCACATGATTGTTATATTTTACTGATTAACATCTCTATTCCTCCTTCCCAGATTGCTATTTTTTAAGCACATTCTTTGGAATGTATATGACATGCAAGTGATTTTTTTTTCTTTTTTTTTTAAATTCTTAATGAACAGGTAAAATTATTTCTTCTTCTCCCTTTGTCATGCTGGTTGCGGAAGTTTCTCTTCTTCACTTTTTCACACTTCCACACATGACGTTACATTTAAGTACATTCCGCTTGGAAAAAAAAAAAAAAAGCTACGTCAAAAGAAACGATATGTTTTTTTTTTTTTTTTTACAACTGGATAATGTCTTTTTTTAATTGACTAATTTGATTTCCCAAGAAAAAGAAGACATGAAAAATTTAGAACATGAAAGGGTAAAAGGCGCACACATGTGCTTTGTTGGTCTATTTGTATGAACATGTTAAGGAGAAATTGCAAAAAAAAAAGGTAAGAAAAAAAAAAATACGAATAAGAATACGAATAAGAATATGAATACGAATACGAATACGAATAAGAATACGAATATGAAACGAATATGAATACGAATATGAATACGAATATGAAACGAATATGAAACGAATATGAATACGAATATGAATACGAATAAGTAAAAAAGGGCATATTGGCAGCATATGATAACATCGCTTGGGATGAAAGAAAAGACAAAATAAACGTCTTTTTACTTCTGTATGAGTCACCGAACAAAGCAAAGAATACACACACATAATATATTAAGTGTAAAAATGTGCTATTCTATTTTAAAAATAAAAAAAAAAAAAAAAAGCCTTTTCTAAATAATCACACATACTTGAAATAAAAAACAGTAGATTTTGCCTGACCAAGTAAGGTTTTATTTTTATCAAGTGGAGTTAAAAAAATATGAAAATGTTTCATGTTTTCTTCTTCTATTTTTATGTGGACTGTGTACATAACGTTGATTCCTTGACTTTTCACATTGAGTTCTCTGATTATTTTATTTTTCAGCACTAGTTTAAAGTTGCAAAAATGGAAATCTCGCATTACGTGGGCCTTATATAGGGGAATAGAAAAGGAAAAAAAAAAAAAAAAAAAAAAAAAAAAAACATATGATATATGATATATGTAATGATACATGGAAATAATAAGCACAACGAGGAGGACACATCACTTACGTACCAAATGCAAAAGTATACGTCACACAAACAAAACATGTACGCAATCATTTTGTTCAATTTATCTATGTATCTCTCTATTTTTCCTATTTGCTTATCTGTCTATATATGCTCGTTCTACCTTAGCGTTGGTCAATTGACCTATGCATTTGATTGTCTCCACTTGGTGCATCGATCGTCCTTTGTTCTGCAAATCAATCAAGTGATAGAATAATAAACAGGGTGATTAGTAATTAATGAGCGGGAATAAAACAATTTGTGTGCAAAGGAAAAAGACGGGTATATGTGACCATACACAACCAACGGTGGAACTGCCCAAAACACACTGTACTCACCGATTTGTACACGTAGGTAGAACTGGAAATGTATGGGGCAGGCATGGACGACAAAATGCGAGGGGGACTTGGATAGTCTATGCGATACACTACCTCCAAGTATACTTTGATAAATGTCATTATCTTCTTTTTATTGAACATTCCGTCTTTAAAAAATTGGTCATAAAGTTCTTTTAAATTCTGAACATGTTCATAAAAAAAAAAGTTACAAGTTTTCATCTGCCAGAGGGTCATTATGTACTCAAAAATATCTGGGAAATTTTTTCCTTGCACATTTTTTATTTCCTTTGCGAATATATTTCTATTCATGCTTTTTTTTCTCTTCTTGTGCGTATAAAACCGTACGATCCAACGTAGCGTGCCATCATATTTGTCAAAAACATACTGTTTCTTGCAATTATAATTGTTCTTATCACTGGACGTGGAAAAACTGGAATAGCCTCCGCTGCTACTGTTGCTACTGTTGCTACTGTTGCTACTGTTGCTACTGTTGCTACTGTTGCTACTGTTGCTACTTCTGCTACTTATGCTACTTCCGCTACTTCTGCTACTTCTGCCACTCCTGCTACTTCTGCCACTCCTGCTACTTCTGCCACTCCTGCTACTTCTTCTACTCCTGCCACTTCTTCCACCTCTACTGCATTTGTTTGCAGTACCATCAACTAATGATCCGTTTACTTCCTCGGCCAATGTCACACCACCAACAAGTGTGTTAAACAAGAAAGATTGGTTAAGAAACAAGTATGGAATCACCTTATGCTTCAAAAAGGAACACAATATAAAAATGGACTTGAGCAAAACAACATAAACATGTAGTATCCGTTTGGAGACACCTGAAAATAAATACTTGATGGCTAGAATTGCTAACAGGGCTCTCATAACTTCCTTCAAGGAAGAAATAATTTTTTGAATGTTGTACGAAAAATAAGCAAGAGTAAAATTTATTTCATCTCTTATGTCATTTACGAGAATTAATAAATTTTCTATAGCTCTGTATATATTCATTTGTATTTTTAAAAAAAAAGAAAAAGGAAAAAAATTTTCCCGAAAAATGTCTATCTCCTTTATGCACTGTTCAGAAATATGTAAAAATTTTATTGGACTTAAAAAAGTTTTCCAGTCCCCATTTGATTTCTTTCTTTTTCTATAACAAAATTTGCAATAATTTAATAAAGCTCTATACCATAATTTGATATCCCTCGCGTTTGTTAATACGTATAATTTTTCAAATATGTCATAACTATGTTTATAAAAACCTGCACATACACAATATTTACCTATCCTGTACATGTAAAAAAAAGATTTTTCATTTTTTTTTAAATTGGCTATTTTGACATTTTCTTGTGCTGATATTTTTTCTTGATATTGCAACCTTTTGTACGTCTTTATCACCTCCTTTTGAAAAGATTTATTTGACAAAGAAGAAACAGAACTAGCGTTTGAAATAGTTCCCTCCTCTTTGTTTGTGCTGGATTGATAATCTGACGTGGCACAGGTAGATGAGAAATTGTCAAATGTGCTACTACTGCTGGTGTATGTTAATTTTTCCACACTTTCTTCTGCTGACTCTCGGGATACGTTCGATTTATATTTTATTGATAAATTCTGATCCTTTTCAGTTTCACGACATACATCTTCTCTCGAGGTATGCAAATCTTGTAATGTGAATTTTGTCATCCCTTCATTTTCCACAGTTACCTTGTCCTTTTTTTTTTCATCATCCCCTATTTTGCTGCCATTCGACAAATTTGCCTGACTTGTGCATATTTTTTTTTTTTTTTTCTGTTTTTTTCTTCTTCCTTCTTCTCCTTCTCCTCCCAAGAAGGCAAAAGAGCAAGATTTGTTCTTCTTCTCCTTTTTAAAAGTAAAAATATGATTTAAAATGTTCAGAAAAATGTAAACCTTCTTACGCATTGCAGTAGTTGCTTCTTTTCCCCTCCCACAATTGTCGATCGAAAAATAAAAAAGGTACCTTACATTGTGATAGCTAGCTGGGTGGTCATCCTCTTGTTGACATATGTTAAAGATTTGAAAAAAATTACTTCTTTTTAGGAAATAAAATGGATTGTCATTAACACTGCTCTTAATGCATATCCCGTCCATAACACTCTTTTGTGCCTCTTCCTTTCTGTATTGGTTGAAAACTGCATCACATTCAGGGATCCCTTTAGAGTTGCATAAGGAATAGCGACCGCTTTGTACAGACATTTTGCTATCAATTAGAAAATAAAAAAAGGGATCTTTCAAAATTTGCTCTATTTTCTCTTTGTGTAAAATAAAGAAAAAATCGAAAAATAGAACAAACTTCTTATTGCAGAATGATTGAAAAAGGCAGTTTAAAAGATGACTATTGTTGCACATTCTTAGTTTACCGGCTATTCTTAGTAAGTATTTATGCACAAAATTTTTGAAAATACTACTTTTGTGGTATGGGCTTCTATTATAACCATAACTTGTGGGGCAACTCGATTGGTCGCTTAACAAGCTAAAAGACATCCCTCTCAAAAAGAGATCGAAATTAGTTCCATTCTGTTTAGTGCGACCTTTTTCTTCGTTCATTTCGTCCGCTTCATCTGCTTCGTCCACTTCGTCCGCTTCATCCACTTCGTCCGCTTCGTCCACTTCATCCACTTCATCCACTTCGTCCGCTTCGTCCACTTCGTCCGCTTCGTCCACTTCAACCACTTCATCCTCTCCGGTGTGTAATCCGTTTGAACGACCAGGAAATGCTTCACTATGAGTAGACTTTGTACTCCTCCTTGTAGATCTCCTGTTAGCACTCATATGTACACTTTTTCTCATGCTATGCGTGTAATTCTTCACTGGATGAGAGACGTCAATACCTTCTCTGTTGGTCATTTCATCCACATTTGTGTGATTTTTATTGAGAAAAAAACTTAGAGAAAGATAATTAATCAATCTTACAAAATCACGAACATCTTCATCATATATAATGTATGTACCAAGAATGGATAGCACTTTTGATATATATAAGCTGATTAATATATTCCCACTGCTATACTTGTGAAGGAAGAAGAGTATCTTTATTATCATAATTCTATTCAAAATAAAATCATCTGGTATATTTTCTACTAATGATTTCCCTATACATTCTTGTTGGACTTTGTTAAAAAAGTGTTTTTCTCTAATTTTTAAATTGTTACCATTTGTAGTGTATTTTTTTTTTATTTTTTTTTTTAAAAATTCTTTTTTAAATCTCATAAAAAAATTATTTTCCAGGGTGTATCCATTGAAATAATCTTCGCATATAAAACTGTCCAATTTTATTTTATTTTTTTTTAACAATTTGTAACAGTGTAATAGGATGCTTTCCTTGTTTATATTCTTTCCTTTTCTTTCTTTCCTATGTCTGTTTAATAAATCTTTTTCGTAATCTTTTTTGCATGTGCTCTTTTGTTCATTACTTATTTCGCTAACTGAACCGCTTACTGGACTATTATCTGAAATATTCTTAACTTCTTCTTCTTCGTTGTGATGGGTGTACTGCTTATAAGAATTCTCTTGATCGTTAAACATTTTTCCTTTTCTCCTTTTGGATGAAGGGCTGTTTTTCACTTGCATTTTTTCTCTTTCTTCGTTTGGCTCTCCATCGCCGTCCCCTTCATTTGTTGCTTCGTTTGTCTCTCCATTGATGTTCTCTTCATTAGTTGTGTCGTTTGTCTCTCCATTCCTGTGGTTATCATCTTCACCCTCACCCTCACGTTGAACCTCGTTTCCACACTGCAATTGGTTATTCCCAATTTCTTGCAATTTCTTTTCTTTTATTTTTAAAATTATATCTAGCTCCTTTACGTGTATATCACCTGCCTTTTCATTTTCTTTGGCTAGCTGAATAAACCTTTCAAAAAAGGAGTCTACATCTTCGTTCCTGCTATTTCCACCCTGCATCTTCATGTAGTCATCATCTTCTTGCTTGTGATTATTTTCTGCCTCACTATCGCTCATCATTATGGTGAAATAAAATTTTCCTTTTTCTTGTGCATTCATGTTGTTTTTACTGTTTCTTTTTTTTTTTTTTTTTTTTTCTTTGTTACAATGTATATTTTCTTTATACGAAAATTTGGCTAGCTCATGTTCTTCTGCAGATCCTACTACCCCGGATGATTGTTCCTCTTTCCTCATTGCACAATTGTATGAAAAATCAGAATTTAATTTTTTGACACTTTGGGTAGGACAACTTATGCATGAAAAAAAGTTCTCTTTCATTGTGCATACAAAATTTTGAATAAAGGAATCGTCATGTGCACGAGTCAAGCTGGGGAATACATCCTCTCTGAGATTGTAATAATTGTTCATGATATCTCCAGTGATAGCAAAATTTGTGTTTACATCCTTGCATTGGTTGTTGGATTGGTTGGTGTATTGCTTAATAAAATGTTTAACATTGGTTTGTCCATTTTTACCTGAACAAGTCAGGTAATTCTGACTGTTTTTTAATTTAAAAAAGTGGTACACAATTTGCAAAAAAATGAAAAGAGAAGAAGCGTCACCATTGTTACCAGCACGAGTACAACCATCATCATTATCAGCACGAGTACAACCATCATCATTACCAGCACCAGCACAACCATCATCATCATTACCAGCACGAGCACCATCACAATTACGCTTCAAGTGAAGACAATTTAACCACACTATTAATTCGTAATCCCGAATGGTTGATGTGAATGAGAAATATGAAAAATGAAAATTTTCTTCCCATGGGTTGTTATTGCTTCCTTTTAAGAATGCATCAGTCATGAGAGGATGTATATGAATATGTTTTTTTTTAATTAAAAATAATAAACTTCTCAAAGAGAAATAAGATAGTTTTCTCCTTTTCATTAGTCTGGTTTGTGGTACCATTAACACTAGTTTAATAGCAATAATTTGTAAATTTCTCAGAAAAGAATTTTTGCAACTTAACAAGGTTGTAATGTGAAAGTATACATGGAGAACTGTCATAATTGCATCTTCACTATTGTTGGCAGATTCCTCTTGATTGAACAGAATGTTGATTGTTTTCCAGAACTTTCTAAATAAAAAATAACTTACGTATGGCATCAATTCGTTTAATTTATTTGCAATTACTGCTAAATATATGCATGTTGTGAATATGAATGGATTTTGTAGATTAATTCCTTTTCTTTCGTTACAACATTGAGTTCCATTAAGCTGGTTCTCATATTTGATGCTTTGCTTTGTTACCGCTTCTCTTCTACCATTGTTCATGCAAGGATTACCCTTTTTTGACCAAGAATCCTTATCATCTCTTTTTTCATAACCAATTATGCTGACATCTTTAACACAGAACGAATTCTGTACAATGTTCTTCTCTTTTCTACTTTTCTGCGTACCATTTTGTATGTCATCAATTTGGTTTTTTTCACTCTGCAGATATGTTCCATTTTCAAGGTGCATCCCTTTCTCCTGCTGCTTTGCATAAATAGAAGGAAATGTATTCGTAACAATTGTTTCAATTTTTCCATCCTCCGTTTCAATTGCTGCACCCTCCGTTTCAATTGCTACACCCTCCTTCTGTTTTGATTCACATTGCACGTTTGTAACAGTATTAATTTTCCACTTGCTATCTACTGTATTTGGGAAGTTTCCTTTCTGCTTTTCTTCGATGGACGTTTCTTTTGCTGTTTGATTGCTATGAGTGTGTAGACACACAAAAGAAGAAGGAGAGAAAGTGGGATATCCTTTTAGCATAATATTGTAAAGATTTTTAACAAGATGATAGAGAATATCGTGTGTGAGAAATGGTGTCAAGTGGGAGAAGACTAAAAGAGCAAGAGTGAATTCATCTAAATTTATTTGCTTCAAGATTATTCGCACAATATTGTATATAATATGATTACATACACTTACATGTTTAATAAATAAGAGACATAATCGGAGGCCAAAATTTCTTGTCAATTTATTTTCACTATTTAACATGTTAATAATATGGAGAGTTATAAAATCACTAATAAATATGGCTTCATTTTTTTGGACGATATAAAAATGATCCCGATTTTTTCCTTTTTGAAAACAGAAAGTGCTAAAAAAAAGTGCATCTATTTTGTTTACATTTCTCAACAAATGATAATAAACATAATTTTTTAT